CCAGATTAGCCACTGGGTTGTGCAGCCTGGGGTTCCGATGGCAGACTGCCTTGGGTCTGCATGGATTGGACCTCCACCTATGTTGTATGGCTTGGTGGTGGGATCTCCATGGCATTGCCCATTTGTTGCGCCAGATGGGTGCAAGCCAAATACACTGGCTCGATCTGGGGCAGGGGGGCTCCCTGTTATACAGATAGGGAGGGATTAGGAATGACCCCTGGCCTTTGCCGTGTTGCTAGCACTTGGCCCTTGCCGTTGAGTTACAAGTTAATATGTTAAATAAGGTGGCCCTTAGTTTATGCAGAATCTTTTTCCTTAGTTTATGCAGTCTTTGGTGCCTGCCTTTTAATTCCAAATGGGGGGGGGCAAATACTCCTGACTCTCACATTCCCAATAGTATTCTTAAAGTTTAAATCAGATAAAAGAGTAATTAATCTTGGAGTCTGAGGTACTCATTTGAATTGTTTCCCTAGGCATTCTATTTAAGAATTCAATGTCATATTCCAGGAGGACCTCTGATATTGTAGGGTGTACAACACTAAGGATCAGATAGCTCCAAATTCACTGTCTTCTATCACCAGGCAAGGGTGTAGACTTTCCAATTTCCCGGGGGGGGCTGGGGCTGGGCCAGAGGCATTGCTGTGCTAGGAGCAAGGGTGGCTCCCGGGGGAGGCTGAGCACTTTCCTGAAAATTTCGGCGGGGGCTGAAGCCCCGCCGGCCCCCCGAAGATTACGCCTATGCTCACTAGCAATTGTGCAAGCAGTAGAGGGGGCAAAGGAAAAGAGTGTTATCACAGCAACTTATATAGAGTCAGTCAAAGTCCAGATCCCTTCCAAAGTAACTCATAGCAGAACATGGAACGGTTCTTTGCATAAGACTGAAGAGTAGAACTGCTAATATGTTCCACATAAGCAATTTTTCCCAGAGCTTCATAGAAAGGGAGATCTGGCTTTTCATCATTTTCTTAAGTTAATTTCTTGGACAGGTTTAGGAGGCTTTAAGAAACCCTGAATAGCTGTTTTGCTTCAGTTCCCATCAAGCCTAAAACAAAACCTTAGGACCTCTTTCTTTCAAGTCATCAGTTCTAGGCTGGAACACTTAGTGTAAACATTGACATTGGGGGTGAGGGGAATCAAACTGGTGACATACTCATAGAAGAGAACGAGATGTAGTTAAATTCCCTGGCCTTGAAGAGGAAGGTTAGGCTGCTAACACAAAGGGTTTTCATACAACCAAGTTGCTGTACTATGGAGTGAAGAATACTCATTGAAGGAGAATTCAGTCTACTGTTTAGACGTCACTGGGTAAGTAAAACCCCATTAGTAACAGAAGAAATGTGTGGATACATGCTGTCTGTCACAGGCATACATCTTGGTATTTACTTCGGTGTTCTGAGTTCTGATCCTTTCTTCTAGTGGATAACTAGAGGACTTTTGTTTGGTCAAATTTTTGCCAGCCTCTGGATTGTTTTTGTTTGTGGGACCTCACTTGCAGCAAGCAACCTGAGCAGCTAGCATCCTCTTTTTTCAATCAACGTGGAACTCCTATTTTTGTTCGTCATCTTTTCAAAGGCAAACGTATATGCTGTCAAAAGCTTTCATGGCCGGAGTTCATTAGCTGCTGTAGATTTTCGGGGCTGTATGGCTGTGGTCTTGGCATTGTAGTGCCCGACATTTTGCCAGCAGCTGTGATTGCCTCAGAGGTGTAACACAGAAAGATGGAGTACTCTCTGTGTCAATGTGAGAAGAAAATGGTAGGCATTTTCTCATATTGACACAGAGAGTACTCCATCTTTCTGTGTTACACCTCTGAGGCAATGCTCCCTCTGAGCTGTGGGGTCTTGTGAGCAAAAATTCTACTTTGTGAGCTACTGGCATTAAATTGTGAGGAAGTGATTTGGCTCCTGCATAAATTAGTTGGATCTGGAGCCATCCTTCCTGAGCTAAGACAAAATTGTGTGAGCCAGAGGCTAAAAAACTGTAAGCCAGCTCACACTAACTCAGCTTAGAGGGGGGACACTGCTCTGAGGATGTCAGTCACAGCTGCCGGCGAAACATCAGGTACTACAATGCCAAGACCATGGCCATACAGCCCAGAAATCTACAACAACTAATAAAGCAAATGTATATGTTTAGGGATTCTTAATATTTGCAAATGTTTCATATCAGGCAAGTGCTGTATTTCTTTAAGGAGGAATGAGTCTCTTGAGAGGCCCAAGATAGTGTGATAGAAACCTTTACGCTTTGCTATGGCTCATGTTTGTGCAACCTATAGCACGTGGGAAGTTAGACCACAGGGATCTTCATTAGAATAATCCATTCATTCCCATTCCACATTGGACAAGCCTGCCTAACTTAATCTTTTTTTTTTTAAAGGTCAAACTGGTTTGGATGGGACCAACTATTTGTCATGGTAGTTCCTAGTCATTAACAGCTTCTCAGCTGGAAGCACTACCTTTTAAATAATTTTCTAACTGGTAAGGTTAGCCTCTGATATCAGACATGGGGATTCCATTGGAGTGGCTAAATCAAGTAGTCTCTCTTAGAAAGTGACACAGAGCAGACTCCATTGACTGTAAAAAAACCTGAATGTTTCAGATTTTCCCTTATAATCAATGGAACAACATGAATGAAACTTGGGTCTACATGATGGCAGATAGAGGTTGAAGACATCTCCATCACACAGAGAAATCTGCATAAATTCTAAGGAACATACCACATCCTGGGTTAAGTGTAGGTACCTGACTTAGACTGACTTTAGCTGCGGTCATGTACACTAAATAGTCCACTTTCCATCCACTTGCAATGCACTTTCCAACTGGGTTTTGCCAGTTAACAGTCCTTTCCACATTTGCCTGTCACTCCGGATTTTCTCTGTGTTCAAGTCAAAAGAATTTAAGTTCATGGCAAAACAACATCCAAATAACCTGGGGCAACAGCAGGCTGAAATCGGGCTGACCACCAAAGGGAGGTGATGTAATGCAGAATGGGGGGGGGGAAACCCGAAATAAAAAGAAGGTTGAACTCGATTTTTGTGCAGAATTATCAGAATGGGGGGGGACGCAACAGAGAAAGAAAAAGACCAGAGCGCAGAATTGCTTGGAGGACACCACAGTGAACATGGATTAAAAGGAGAGTGCAGAAAGGGCCACAGTAAAGTCCAGTTGGAAAATGCACTGAAAGTGGATTGAAAGTGGATTATTTAGTGTGTGTGACCACAGCTTTTATGGCATTTATTTGGAAGCGTGTGTTCCCTGTGAGTTGCAGTACTTTCACCCTGTATTTTGTTTTGGGCTTTTCCCCACCCCTTTTTATGAATCCAAACATCTTTTTCTGTTTTTCTTTCTTTCTTTTTTTAAATAAATTTTTATTATAATACAGATATATTGCACCAACCAACTTTCTTTTATAACAAACTTTCCTCTTTATAAACACTCTTTTTCTGTTGCTTTGTTTTTCAGTTATATTTCTTTGGGATGTTTCTCTTTATCTCTTCCCTAGAGGCTAGACTGCACAGACACTGCAGTTCTCTGTAAGACACTCTGCAGGGTTTACATCCTGTTTATGTCTTTATTGGTCTTGTACTGCGCTAGAAGGAACCCTCCTTAATGGGCCAGTCCAGGTATTCTTAGGCGGTCTGCTGAGTGCTGGCAGTGTCATCACATCCTGTTCCCAAAACTCTGTATCTAAGAGAGTTTCCCAGACTCCTTTCCCCCTTTCTTTCCATCACAGACAGCTTTCAAAATTGTTTCACATCCTTGGGAAGGTGTGTGTCTGGGGGAAATAAATAGACTGATTTGGAGATGGGAGTAAGTAGTGAAGTGTTCTTGACAGCACTTTTCAGTGAACTGGAAATTTCAGTGAACTGGAAATACTGAAAATAAATAAAAATCAAGGCCTGCACATTTCTTGGTTTTGCTGCTATTGGGTCTTACAGAGACAATGGAACATAATAGCAATATCAGTGCCCTTTCCGATTCTGTGAGTTGTTTTAATATATGTTTATACCAAAATATCCCTTTAGGGAATGTATTAAAACCTAAATCTAAGTACAGAACCAATACCAAAGGCATTATATGCACTAAATCCTAATCTCTACTGTCGTGGCCACCTGAGTCTCTGGTTTATGTGTCACTGAGCCCACTAATGCCAATGGTCTTTAAGAACCACAACATTAGATGTGCTTAATTATATGATATGATGTGGTATAATGAGAGCCAGTTTGGTGTAGTGGTTAGGAGTGCGGACTCTAATCTGGGAGAACCGGGTTTGATTCCCCACTCCTTCACATGCAGCTGCTGGCATGACCTTGGGTCAGTCACAAGCAATGTTCCCTCTAAGCTGTGGAGTCCTGTGAGCAAAAATTCTGAGCTGTGAGCAAAAAAATTCTGTGAGCAAAAAAAATGAGCTACTGGCATGAAATTTGTGAGCAAGCAATTTGGCTACTGCATAAATTAGTTGGCTCTGGAGTCATCCTTCCTGAGCGAAGACAAAAATCTGTGAGCTGGAGGCTGAAAAACTGTGAGCTAGCTCACACTAACTCAGCTTAGAGGGAACACTGGTCACAAGTTCTTTCACAGCTGTTCTCTCATGAGTAGTTCTCGAAAGAACTCTCTCAGCCCCACCTACCCCATAGGGTGTCTGTTGTGGGGAGGGGAAGGGAAAGGAGGTTGTAAACCGCTCTGAGACTCCTTCAGGTAGCGAAGGGTGGAATATAAATCCAACCTCTTCTTCTTAACCTCATTAACTTCAGTGGGGTTTACAGTACAGAGGACTGTATGACACACATAGATCCTAGAGATCCCAGACACTCAAGAAAGTACTTCAGAGTTGTAAAGCTTATGAAAACGCTGCCAGTGCCACTTATAAACCATCATATTCTCTCCTTCTCCCCCCCCCCCACAGAAGGAACAAGGCAGAGAGCATCATGGGATTTTAAAGCTTATAAATCATCGTATTCTCTCATCCCCCCTCGCAGAAGGAACAAGGCAGAGAGCATCATGGGAACTCCAAATGAGACAACGGTGACAGAATTCATCTTGATTGGGTTATCCGGGCACCCCCAAGCACAGGCTGTGTTCTTTTCATTCTTCTTGATGGCCTATCTCATCAGCACTCTTGGGAATGGCCTCATCATCATCTTGATCATTGCAGACCCCCATCTCCATTCTCCCATGTATTTCTTTCTCTGCATCCTCTCCTCGGTAGATCTCATCATCTCCAGCAATGTACTTCCCGAGATCCTGGTCAACTGCTTCTTTTATAGGCCCACCATCTCCTTCTACAGATGCGTGGTTCAGATGTATGTTGGCCTATCACTCGTTGTGACAGAGTGTATCCTTCTGGCTGTTATGGCCTATGACCGCTTTGCAGCGATATGCCAGCCGCTTCACTATATGCAGATCATGAGCTGGAGATTTTGTACCAGTTTAGTGTCTGTATGTATGGTCCTCGCCTTACTGAATACCTTGATCAACATATTGTTGCAGCCAACTGACTTCTGTGGGCAAAATATCATTAACCATTTTGGATGTGAGCTACAATCTCTACTCAGACTGGCCTGCTCCGGCACACACACTCCCGAGCTCTACATTCACGTTAGCGGCTTCTTTGTCCTGATACCCCCCTTTGGCTTCATCGTTGTGACATATGGGCGCATAGGCTTAGCTGTCCTGCGCATTCGCTCAACACAGGGTCGCAAGAAAGCCTTCTCCACCTGTAGTTCTCACCTCATGGTGGTCAGTGTCTTTTATGGTACAATCATGATCACGTACTTGAAACCTCAAGCAAAATCCACTTCAGATCAAGATAAAGTCATTGCTTTACTTTACGGGGTCTTAACTCCCATGCTCAACCCCCTGATCTACAGCTTGAGAAACAGGGATGTGAAGGGCGCCTTCTGGGGAGTGTTTGGCAGGAAACGTCAAAAATAAAGATTAACAACATATACACTCCACTTCTCACACAAGAAACAGTTTCTATGCTGAAATTATCCCAGAAAAATCCTTTAGTATTTTTTTTTTATATGTCGGGGTCTCCATTATTATCCAAATGGCCCATATATATACATACCCTGACCAGTGTTCCCTCTAAACTGAGTTAGTGTGAACTAGCTCACAGTTTTTAAGCCTCCGGCTCACACATTTTTGTCTTAGCTCAGGAAAGATGCTTAGAGGGAGCATTGACCTGATTAAAGGGAGTGTCATCCTTTTAAAGTTTCAGAAGCCTACTTGTGCTCAGGGCAAACGTTATTGGGACTGTCTTGTCTGCAGTATACCAAGGTCAAACCTCTGGTCTAATGCCTCATAAGGATGTACAGGTTCTTAAAAATAAACAGACATTGGTTTCAAGTGAAGGTTTTAATAAGGAAAAGAAGAACAGCGAAGGGAACCAGCAAACTGAATACAGTGTCCGAAACGTGTGCACACATAAACACTAAATAAATGGTCTACAAATCCTAACTTCTACTATATCCAAACCTGAGAGAATAGTACTAATTTAAAGAAAGTGTAAAGAGAAAAGGGGGGGGGGGGAGAAGGAGTTAGAAAGGCACCGTAGCCTGTCCTGGTGAGTAAAGTCCTACAAAGTTCATTAGAGGATAGAGAAAGGGGCATGGGAGAGGGCCATGTGGAGGATCCAAGCATGATCTTCACAGACACCTCCTATGGGACAGCAGGGCTGATCCACAATCCTGCAGACATTCCCCACTATGTGATCCCGCATGGGGACTGTGGAGCCAGTTCCTGGAGCCTAGTATTGAGATGAGAACAAATGGCTAAGACCATTACTTGGGGTTCTCTAATTTCCTACCCCAAAAGTGTGAAGATAGAGGGCAAATAAGATACTTCTCAATGAGGAGAGATAGCGACCACCTCCACTAGAGTGCGTAGGTCGGCCTGGTTTGGCTGGAACCTGCTAAGCTCCACACCCACCCTACCTGTGGCCCGTGCACTTAGGGCTGGTGCTGCCAGGCTTCAGGCTGGAACGGAGCCTGTTGGCACTGCCACCACCCGCCTTGTCTTGGCTGCCTGACTCCAAACATGCGGTGACAGTGTGAGTCAGTGAGCAGGGGTAGGGGTTGCCAGCATATTGTTTTATATTGCTGGCAAGATGACAGCTAAGGTGATGAGAGTCAGTTGGATCATCTTGATCCAGGAGTGACAGGAGTAGTGTCATGTGACATGTCACCCGATCAAGGATGCATCATACTAACAGGAGTCACAGTGAGTCAGCACTATGATGTGATTGGTGCTTCACAGTATATATTCTGTGCACTTTGTCTGTACAGTATCACTCTTATGAATTGGATGCCTTGCGAAGCACTTTGTTAGTCTGCCTATGGATTTGGATTCTACCAGTGCTAACTTGAACTGTATGTATGATATTGTAAATAAAACCACTGTATATAGTTCAGCACTAGCACATTGTGGATTGCATTATTCGCCGTGCTTCCAGTACGCTGTCAGGGGTAGGGGACAGAGCCACCTATTTGAGTCTAAGCCCATGACTCCCACAGCTCAAAGCAGTGGTTCTGTCATGACCGTTGTTATGTATTCAGATGGATTATTATTACCAGCTAAGGTGATGAGAGTCAGTTGGATCATCTTGATCCAGGAGTGACAGGAGTAGTGTCATGTGACATGTCACCCGATCAAGGATGCATCATACTAACAGGAGTCACAGTGAGTCAGCACTATGATGTGATTGGTGCTTCACAGTATATATTCTGTGCACTTTGTCTGTACAGTATCACTCTTATGAATTGGATGCCTTGCGAAGCACTTTGTTAGTCTGCCTATGGATTTGGATTCTACCAGTGCTAACTTGAACTGTATGTATGATATTGTAAATAAAACCACTGTATATAGTTCAGCACTAGCACATTGTGGATTGCATTATTCGCCGTGCTTCCAGTACGCTGTCAGGGGTAGGGGACAGAGCCACCTATTTGAGTCTAAGCCCATCACTCCCACAGCTCAAAGCAGTGGTTCTGTCATGAGCGTCCCCTCTGTTATTTCTAATGCTCCTCAAAGCAATTTAAGTCAATCCTGTTTAACTTGGTTAGAAGCACTAACAGATAGTACAACAATTTCTTTTGAAGCTAAACTACACTTATTTGCTACAACTACTTCTGGTTCAAGAGGAGCAGGAAAGGATGCGGTAGTAAGGCTAGCTCTTGAAGGAAGGCTTAAACCAGGGGTGTTAAACAGGCCGCCCGGGGGCCGGATTAGGCCCCTGGAGGGCTTCCATAAGGCCCGCAGTGGAACTGACGATCTCCTGCTTCCAGTTGTGCAGCTGCTGCTGCATTATAGCTTGTTTCACCAGACTCTCATAATCACTCAGCCATTTCATGTTTTAACCTGGGTCCTAGACTCAGAACTCTCATGAGATTTCTGTGGTGAATGTCAATAAATCAAAATTAGGTTTGCAGCTTACAGAGCTAATGTTTTAAGCATGTTTTTATCTTTGTGTTTGTGTCCTTTATAAAGTTGATATCTCCACTAGCTGGCTTTACATTTTATGACACACATGGCCTGGCCCAACAAAGTCTCATTTATGTCAGATCCGGCCCTCATAACAAATGAGTTCGACATGCCTGGCTTAAAGTTTGGTGTCTAGGAGTATAAAATACTTCCTCAGTTGTGCCGTCTTGGGATCTGGCTCTTGTTGAATAACAACCAGCTGTTGCTGAAGTAACTGGAACCTTCGGATTAAATTACTTCGCTCATCTTCCGAAAGTGTGGAGAAAGAGGAGAAAAATTCTGCTTCAGTGTTGTTCAACACCAGGTCTTTCAATGCCGGAGCTTTCCTTTCTTCCAGAGGAGGGTATTCTTTGGAAAACTTGTTTGTTTTGGGGGCTTTCTCTGTCTTTTTGGGAATCACCACAGCCACACAAGGGTTAGCCATTGGTTGAAAGTCAAATAACATTTCCTCCTCCTCCTCTCAGTTGTCCAGAGACTTTCCCACTGGGAATGTGCCTTTGGATTTCAAATCACCAGTAGTTTCTTTAACATCTTTTTTATCCATTTTAATCAGTGGCTTTTTGGATGGAATCAAGGGCTTAACTTTCCCACTCTTAAAGAATCTAGAGGGGGAAATTCCAAAATGCCGCAAAAACTGCCATTTTGCCAATATTAATGACGGGATCCATGAAAAAATACAGGAAAATGCAGTCATGATGGGTAGGACCATATATTCTCTTGACAGATCTGATGTTAACATGAGAAAGCCCTAGCAAATAGGACAGGTGTCCTCTTGCTTTCCATTTAGAAGACCGGTCTATCCATCGCCCCTGATATTTATGAATATCTAAAACGATAGCTTTTGGTTCTAAAGTCAATGAAGCAGATACTTCAGGGGCCTACTGTGTGGAATTTATTTTCCTTTCAAGGATAGGGGGATTGCTTCCAGTGCTTATTTATAAAACGTGCTTCTTCTTGCTTCCCCTGCTTTGGGTTAGATACAGAGGTGGCCAAACAGTGGCTCGGGAGCGGCATGCGGCTCTTTCACACGTATTGTGCGGCTCCCAGCAGGGCAGCTGGGGAAGCGAAATATCATTAGAAAACAAATATCATTGGACAAATAAATATCGTTATCAATATCTGCATTTACTGCTTTTGTTATTATTTTTGGCAGTCTTGTTTAATGTTAATAAAAAGCAAATTTGCATATTTCCCAGTAAAGACATGTAATATTTGTCCATGTCTTGCAGCTCTCAAATATCTGACATTTATTTTGTGTGGCTCTTACATTATGCAAGTTTGGCCAGCCCTGGGTTAGAAGATCAGTGGTACCACACTGCTTCTACTTACAAAAGAATTGAAGCAATGGATCACGTTTCTCATAAATTTTACTCACTGTTGGGGTTGCAAAGAGTCGGACTCGACTGTGCAACTGAACAACAACAAAAAAGAGTGTTTGAGAAGCCAGAAATTCAAACTCCTTAGAGCAGATCTTTACATAATGTTCTTTAGAATGCTCTGTTTCCAGTAGCTTAGGTGATGAAGAGAGCGATATTTTAGTCTCATTAATGGTACTTATCTCAGCTGGTGGTGGAGCCTTCTCAGTGAATATCCAGGTTAATGTTGACTGGAGACAGGGCTATTTTGGGGGCAGAACGCACCGGAACAGCGTTCTGGCTGCCTTCTGAGCCTGTCCAGCCCCTCTCCGCACTGCCCTTCCCTCACCAAAAGCCCTGCTCCTGTGGAGAGGCCCAGCTGCACTCTGTTCAGTGGCAGCGCGAGGGGCAGCCCGGCAGCTGGGAGCCAAGCAGAGAGCGAGGGCGGTCCGGTGGTGAGGGCGATGGGCAGCCTGGCAGCTGGGAGCCCCCTGGCATGCCGCCTCCTTCCCCTCTGCTCCTCCTGGCTTTCGATCAAGGGAAACCTTTACCTTTACCTTTTAATTGTTTCAGGATTTCTCACCGCTTGTCAGCCTTTTCGGCTCCTCGAAGCTTTCGATGGAGCCACACCTGCTCGTTTTACAGTCCGTGCTTTTGATCGATGCCACATTTTTTCCTTTCCTTCTGTGGTGCGTCTCCTGTCTTTTCTGCTCCTTGCTCAGTTCTCTGAATTTTAGGGTCCGCAGACAAGTCCATAGCCAGGACTTTTTAATTGGGGGTGGCTTTAAATAACTCGGGGGGAACTGACATCACAAAAAAAAAACCACCTCATGTTTGCCAGTTGGAGCAGGCAGAAGCAGTTGGAGCAGGCGGCCACTCTGTCCATGGAGGACTCCCATGTGGTGGCTGGGGGGAACAGTGTGCCAGCCTCCAGCAGGATGTGCAGCAACCGGGTGAGGAGCAGTGTTCCCTCTAAGCTAAGCTAGTGTGAGCTAGCTCGCAGTTCTTTAGCCTCCGGTGTAAGCCTGCAAGCCTGCTATGGTGTTTTTATGGACTGTGTTATACTGTACCTGATTAAGTGTGCCAACGACGAAC